AGGAGGAGAAACAGCCCAGCCAGAGGAGCCATCGCTACACTAAATCTTGCTGGCTACTGAGTGCGGGTCTCGGGACACTTTCGCTGTTTAATTAGCGGATTATTCGCGAGTTGCAGTTGAATGCTCTGTGGTTTTGACGGTCTATATGCAAGAGAAGGGATAGAGGGAGACGCACCCCATTCATTTCCTCCCTGATGAAGATGTCTTTCTTAGGCACTGGCACCTCTTAGGCGCATGCAGGGACGTCTGCAGCCGGCCTCCACCCAGGAAAGAAACTGCGAAGTGTGGGACGCACTAGGAAGCTTTTTGCCCAAGGCCAGGCTGCAATCAGGGAGCGGCGTGGCGGTTGAGCTTCCCACCTGTTGCTGTCCCCGCTGGGCCACGACTTCCTCCTCCCCAGCCCTGAGCTGGACTCTCAGACCAGGCTAGGAAGCTGGAGGAGGCAGAGAAAGCCACCGCAGGTTCCCTGGCTGGTAGAGCTAGGGGCCACCGCTGTAAGGATCCTCCTCCCCCTCCTGGTGGCAGTTCCCGGGCTGGTGGCGAAGCCAGGTGCTCTCCGATTGGCCAGCAGTGGATAGGGGGCGGAGCCAAGAAGGCCGGTTATCACAAGGACCGCCTCAAAAGCTCCCAGGCTATCGCAGAGCGCTCTAGAGCCCTGGCCAGCGCACAGCCTTCCCGGCGCCCGCAAGCAGGGTCTTGGGAATTCTCACTTGCTTCGGCTCACTCTCCTTCACACACAAAAAAAACCTCACTGGATCTTACATGCTTCTGTAATCCCCACTTCCACCCATGTCCCCATGATCCTGTGCCAGCAACAGGTAAGGGCTTCTGTGGTTTTTTTTTTTTTTTCCTCTCCTCTCCTCTTGTCTGTGTGTGTCTATGGCAGTGGAATTGCGCCACAGTCCCCTACCCCTGCTGTCTCCGCTGCTCTGGAGGTGCCCATATGTCAGGCTGCTGTACCGCTTCCCTCTTCAAGCTTTGGAGTCCCGGCTCATTGCCTATATAGTTTGTGTGCGCACCAGAACATCCTCAGAGCTAAAAATACTGAGACATGCTTGGAAGAGTTGAGCAATAGAAACAGATTTCTCTGCAGCATCTGTTTGTGCTCATAACTTCCAATGCACCAGCTGTAGCGAGATACTGGGTTGAGAGGCAAGCAAGAGCCTGAAGCAGGCTCTTTCTCTTACTGGGGGTTCGAGGGCGGAAGAGAAGGTAACTGGGGATTGGAGGTCCCTCTTGAGCACTGGGCTCAGACCACGGAACTCAGCACTTGTTCTAGTTCCTTGGTGTGTGTGTGTGTGTGTGTGTGTGTGTGTGTAGAGAGAGAGAGAGAGGAAAGAGAGAGAGAGGAGAGAGAGAGGAGAGAGAGAGAGAGAGAGAGAGAGAGAGAGAGAGAGAGGTGGGGTGGGGAGGTGGTTACTTCAAATACAGCAGTGTTCCAGAGTCAGAGTTGCAGAGTGAGCATCTCAAGTCTCATCTCAGAGCTCCTTTGCTGAGAAGCAGGGTAGGAGCCCAAGTTGGATTTTAGCCTGACGACCGAAAAACTTTCCCATCCTATGTCAGTCTGTCATTGAAGCACTTTGCTATTCTTAGTAATAATGGTGTAAAGTCCTCATTTGAAGACAGTGTGGTTTTAGGGAAGCTGTGATCAAGGCGACATGACTCTGAAAAAAAAAAAAGGACTGCATCATAACATGGATTCCTTATGACAGTTGGGGGAAAAACCAAGATAGGGAATGGGTAGTCGAACATCTGTCTGGCTCAGTCTGTAGTGGAGACTTGGATGAGACTGTCCTTTTCAAAGGTCTTCACAAACTCTGAATGTATCTCCCAGGAAATAAAGGTATTACTTGATAACCTGTTTTGGCTAAGCAGAGAAGAGAGTTAATTAATATCTCCTTTTGCCATTTGCCATCTTTTCGAATTAATAATTAATAGGCTGTCATAGTTCCTTTTGCTTGCCAGTTCTGTATGTGCTCCATAAGTACCACTACACTTGTTCACCTCATCCTGGTTGCAACTAAGAGCTTTATTTTTATTTTTCATTATGCAGGGAGAAATTCCTCATGCCCAGGAGAGAGATAGGTTACTTCAAGTGTGGTGGAAACAGTGACAGTTGGGGTCAAGGTCATTTCACTTTTTGTTTTGTGCCTAGAACTCCATATTGTGGTATTCTTTTATTTTTATGTTATTGATATCTGTAAAGATACTTGTTTTGCACCTTTGTGAAATTACTTAAACAAATCAGTCAGTCGACACCTTCCAGACACACTCCTTATCAAGACTCTCTGGCCAGCTGTCCTTCTTTGACTCCTGAGTAATTATAAGATTGACCCCATCTTTATCCAAACTTTGGGACATTTTGAGCTTTTTAAAAAGATGTCAATATTTGTTTATGAAACACAGGTCGTCCTTGACATGCAATAGATGCCTAGAGCTGCCACAAACATTGCTGTGTATAAATGTTCGAGGCAGCACTCACGTAGATATAAATGGGTGTCTTCCCTCTCCACTCCCCCCCCCCCTTCTGTTTACTGAGCTTCGCAGAGGTTGCTCTGCAGCAATAGAACTCACATAGCAACTTGTGCCCAGAGCACTCTGGGACTGGTCTGCATGGCGTCAGCTGGGGAATAGCTGCTGAAGCACTCATTAGCAGCCTTCTCACCCAGTACCTTCTCTCCTGCTTTGTCCTATCTTCAGACAGAAACTTACAATTTTACTGAGAGTCCATGACCCTCCTGTGGGACACCGAGATTCTCATTTATTCTTCCCAAGTGCCTTTATCTAGCTTTTCACGTGCTCTACTGAAGGCATTTCCTATATAGAAAAGACTTCGCATTCTCTCCTTTTTTCAGTGTGATCTCCTTACCCCTGCATTTGTGCATCTCTCTCTCTCTCCTTTCCTCCTCCTTTAATGTCTACCTAGGATTGAGGCACTGGACTATTTTTTCCATTGCTTATGCTTAATTTTGGATCAGCCTATAAATAGTCTTAACATGAACAGCACCACATGTAGCCTCTCAATTTCCCAGAAATACTCTCTACCTCATTGGTTATGGCTTGGGTGAAATGATTATCCATGCCCATTGAGTTTAGATCTGATGCCTTACATATCTGGGCTTAAAGGGGGGTTGTATATTACTCACCAAATCCATATCAGCTCTCTGGAGCTATAGCCACCAAGAAGGCAAGAGTATCTGAATATACTACTAGTTTGCTGCTTTTCAGAAAAATTCTTGTAATAAAACTGCATGAAAATCCTATTCTTTTAAAGAGGTTTCCCCATGTGTTTATGAATTGGTGATTCCCCACTGTGATAGGAGAAGGCAAGAGAATTTTCTGCTTGTTTGAGGTCACTGGGACCTGTGGTCAGGTCAACAGCAAAAGCCCAGCCAACTATACAGTTAACTTGTGGGAGTGTAGCAGGTTCTAGACCTTTACAATTGGAACCAGTTCCACAAAAGTCTTAAGACATATGACATGTGTGTGCACACATAGAAGCATTACTCTGTTTGGGTTTGACATGTACTTGACATGGGGAAATTTTCCATTTCAAGGAAAGAAAGGAATGGGATAAAAAAGGTTATTTTTCCTTTCCAGGAAGCACTGGTAAGACCTGAAAATGATGCGCTAGCATGTGGAACAAATTCTGCCATTAGCAATGGAAATGAGACAATAACAGCCCCCTCAGTACATGCTATTTGCAAGGTTCCAAGTGGGGAAAGCTATTCATAGGAAACAGCTATTGTGTGACTTGTGGAATTCAAGCAGATGTCCTAGGATTGAGATTTTGGAAAGTCCTAATTGGGCCTTTGGAGTTCATGGGGTTGTTAGGTTCTTATCTGGAAAGAGGCAGGAGTCACTGTGAAGAAATCTGAGTCTGTTCATGTCCCAACGATGTTAATGCAGCAAAGGCTTCTTTTGAGTAGTGAAAAGGGAGTTAATGGGTGTTAGTTTGTCGTAAAATATTTTAAAGTCAATCGTAACTCAGATACACTCTTTGAAGCAACTCCTTTGTCCCGTTCCCATGTTTTAAAGAAAAGCACACCTGCATTTGGCTTCATGATGCTGTCTCCATGTTCTTGTAGAAACATTTGGTAACATTATGTGAGCCAAATCATCTGAAAATACTAGGCCTCAGAGAGATATGATTCTTTATTCCTTTATCCAAACTCACACTTCATTGGGAAGCAGACAAAACAGTGAAGCAGGTAGAAGGTTGGGAAAGCACCAGGCACTGGAACTTCTTTTTATAAAACAATTCAAAGGCACTTTGAAATAAAGTGTCATTTAGGTATCAAAAGCTGCCAAAATGTAACACACATTGCAATTTCCATGGATGACTAATCTCAAGAAAAATAAGTTGGGGTACATCTTGATAATAATCTAGACGTAACAGGAGAAGTCAGAAGACTAGAACACGACACTTCCAGAGACAATGCACCTTGCCTCTTGGTAAAGGGCTGCATGAAATAAGGAGAAACGGTGGCTTTCTATGTCTGCAGCTGGCTTGGCTGAGAATGGTTCTGCTGACTGATCCATATTCATGTGTCTTTGGGAGAAATCAAAACTGGAGCCCTCTTTCCAAGGCCTCCACACATTTCTGACCCTCTTTATTGTCCCTCTTAAAAACAGGACATGGATTTGGCGGTTCTAAAAGGGGGAAATCACTTTCAGTTTTTAGTTCTAGGCCATATTAATATTAATCTCCTTCTAGACTTTGCTAATACACATTGCATAAAGAAAACACCTTTTACCATTTCATAGTCATTCTTTCCTCTTCTTTTCTTCCTTCCTTCTCCCTTTCTTTCTTTTTTTTTGTTACAGGGAAAACGTAGTTTTTTTATTTTTTTTTAAGTCAACGTAAAGTCAAAGCAAAGTGGCTAAATTATCCCTGGGGCAGAATGAAGCAGTGGGAGGGAGGAAGCTGGAAGTTACTATTGCTTCATGTTAGGTAAAGGTGAGTGCCTTCTCCATAGGAACCTGCAGCAAACAACAGCACTAGAAGTGAAAGTAAGCTGGGTGGCATTCATGTGTTACTTTGATTACAAAGTTGTCGCTGTTGGAGAGAAGGCAGCCTTGGACTCACATGAAATGAGCTCTTGCCTTATCTCAATCCGCTAAAGACCTGGGCCTATGGAGCAGAGGTGGCTTCCTCCCTACCCTGTCATTACATATGGCAATCCCATCTCTGGAGAATTTCAGGACTAATATTGCTAAGCAACAGAATGGCTCTCTATCCCCTAGAGCAAACCTGTGTCTTCAAGTCAGAATCACTTGTATTCAGGGAGATGGTATCAGACATTTTTGCACAGTGCCTGCTTCAAATGTGGGGAGTGATGGAGCATGCCCAAACAGAATCCAGAAGTGAGGATCCATTTCAAATGCTGTAGAGGACTGTCCAACATTATTACAGAAAACAACATTGTCTGTGACCATAGATATCAACCTTGTCAGGGAGGGATGGGACATTCTCTCTTAACACTCATGTAACGGAACTAATATCCAGGCTGTTCCTATAAAATGTTCTGTAGACATATCCTGCTTTTAGAAGCTGGTACAAACCATAGAATCAAAATGATTCTTCTCTTTATTACCTCAATAACCTGGAAGAGAGTAATAGTTGATAGGTAGATATGGATTATAGAATATTCTAGATGGGTGACAAACAGTAGGAGAAAAGGGAACTGAAATTTTGGTGGAATGACTAGGAGAGGCACTTCATCTATGTTCAGTGATTTTAAATCAAAATTTAAAAGAGCATTTATAGGAACAAAGAAAACTCCATACAATCCACTCCAAATAACATTTGTTTGTGTCTTGTTCTGTTTTGTTAAGATGGGGATATTGTCTTAGGCAGCAGGACTCCTTTAAGTATGGCTGTTTTATAATGAGTACTCTCTTCTCTCGCAGGACAAGTTCTCTGGATGTCAGCTGAGTTACTAAGGTAACTATTGCTCAAAAGGCAAACCTTGGTAGAACCCCAAGGTCCTTGGAAGCATCCATCTCTCCTCATTTTTTAAAATTTTTGGTGTGTGTGTCTTCACCGAACATTCAAAACTGTTTCTTCAAAGGGTTTTGCAAAAACTCAGACTGTTTTCTAAAGCAGAAACACTGGCGTCCACAGCAGAAGCAATGGGCAGTGTGCGAACCAACCGCTACAGCATCGTCTCTTCTGAAGAAGATGGCATGAAGTTGGCCACCATGGCAGTGGCCAATGGCTTCGGGAATGGCAAGAGTAAAGTCCACACCCGGCAACAGTGCAGGAGCCGCTTTGTGAAGAAAGATGGGCACTGCAATGTTCAGTTCATCAACGTGGGTGAGAAAGGACAGAGGTACCTGGCAGACATCTTTACCACCTGTGTTGACATTCGTTGGCGATGGATGCTGGTTATCTTCTGCCTGGCATTTGTGCTCTCCTGGCTGTTTTTTGGCTGTGTGTTTTGGTTGATAGCTCTGCTCCATGGGGATCTGGATGCTTCTAAAGAGAGCAAAGCTTGTGTGTCTGAGGTCAACAGCTTCACGGCTGCCTTCCTCTTCTCCATCGAGACCCAGACAACCATCGGCTATGGTTTCCGGTGTGTTACCGATGAGTGCCCCATTGCTGTTTTCATGGTGGTATTCCAGTCAATAGTAGGCTGCATCATTGATGCCTTCATCATAGGCGCAGTCATGGCAAAGATGGCAAAGCCAAAGAAAAGAAACGAGACTCTTGTTTTCAGTCACAATGCTGTGATTGCCATGAGGGACGGCAAACTATGCTTAATGTGGAGGGTGGGAAACCTTCGCAAAAGCCACCTTGTTGAAGCTCATGTCCGGGCACAGCTACTCAAATCCAGAATCACTTCAGAAGGGGAGTATATTCCCTTGGACCAGATAGATATCAACGTTGGTTTTGATAGTGGAATTGACCGTATATTTCTAGTATCCCCTATCACTATTGTCCATGAAATAGATGAAGACAGCCCTTTATATGACTTGAGTAAGCAGGACATTGACAATGCAGACTTTGAAATTGTTGTCATACTGGAAGGCATGGTGGAGGCCACTGCCATGACGACACAGTGCCGGAGTTCATATCTGGCCAACGAAATTCTCTGGGGCCACCGGTATGAGCCAGTGCTCTTTGAAGAGAAACACTACTACAAAGTGGACTACTCAAGATTCCACAAGACTTATGAGGTACCTAACACTCCTCTTTGTATTGCCAGAGACTTAGCAGAAAAGAAGTACATCCTCTCAAATGCGAATTCATTTTGCTATGAAAACGAAGTTGCCCTCACAAGCAAAGAGGAAGAGGACAGTGAAAACGGAGTCCCAGAGAGCACAAGCACAGACTCACCCCCTGGCATAGATCTTCACAACCAGGCAAGCGTACCTCTAGAGCCTAGGCCCTTAAGGCGAGAATCGGAGATATGACTGGCTGATTCCGTCCTTGGAATATTTACGTTGCTACACAGTCTGTTGTTGGTCAGAGGTCGGAGACAGTTATACAGGGGGGGGAAGCGCCCAGCCACAAGAGACTAAGGCTAGCACAAAGGTATCAAGAAAAGACTGGAAGCTGGATGACTAATGTAAAGTGCTTTGCAGGCCTCCGAGTGACCCGATGGCACATATCTGTTGTAGAATAAGTTGTGGGGTTTTAAATGTATTGTTTTGTGTTTTTACAAAACTTGAATATGCAGGCAAGCCTCAGTTTGGGTATTTAACTTACCTGGAATGCTTCTCTTTAGGGGAACAAGAATGATTTTAATGGCATAACACAGGCAAGACTCTGCCTTAATTTTTTGAAAAGCTGCTAACTACATGAACACAAACTGTATTTTTGTTGCAGTGTAGTTTATCTTTTATGTAATTTTAAAAAGTCAGTGTTGAACATTGTTGAAGGTGCACAGTGCGCTTCAAAGTGTCAAGTATTTGGCTATTAACTGCCAAAACGAGAGCCTGATTTTCTGAGGCCAGTAATTTGTTTGCTAAAATTGATCTCTCTCTCTCTGTCTCTCTCTGTCTCTCTCTTCTCCCCACGTTCTCGTTACGTAAGGGCATTATGTAACACTAGCCAAATGGTAGCCTCTGGGTTTTATACTTTTCCTTTCCACGACGCTAATAGGTTATCTCAAAATTTTAGACTACCTAAAATAAATACCAAAGACAATGCACATATTTTTTTGCACAGTGGAGTTTATATTAAAAAGGAAATAAAGCCCCATGGGTTGTCTGGGCAATCCAGACACATTAACTTTGAACCTCAGCAAGATGTTGAACAGCCTGTTCATTCTGTACCTTAGTCTGCAAAAGAACATCAAAGTCGATAAATGTGTGTTTTCAATTCTGTTCTTTTGTGCAGCCTTCTTATTTGAAGGGGAAGGGAAAGGGGGCATGGGTCACTTGTACACATACACTATACTAAAATCATTCTTTCCCTGATAGGTAATGTTGACCAGGCTAATGTATTCAAAGGAGAGAGAGAGAGAGAGAGAGAGAGAGAGAGAGAGAGAGAGAGAGGGAGGGAGACCCATCCCACTTGGACCTTTCTGAGCTTCCTGCTTTCTGCACATTCCAAAGTTTATTCCATAAGAGCAGATCTGGCTTGAACTCTGTTGGTAACCCTGACATCCTCCAAACAGAACCATCCAGCATGGAAGCTAGACAGATTTCAACTTTTGCAGCTGAATCATGGCCTTGATTGTCAGGGCATTTCTAGCCTGGTGTCACATTAGGGAAGATATCTGGCCTCCAGGCTTGTCTTTCTGAGGCCATCTGCAGAGAGACAACATGGGCTGAATATGCCAAAGCAGGGGATTTCCGTGTGTGTGTGTGTGTGTGTGTGTGTGTGTGTGTGCCTGCCACTTCAATGCAAAAATCTACTTTAAAAGGGAGAGGAAAGAGGAAAGCTGCCTCTTCAAAGGCAGAGGGTAGGAGAGAATCTCTCAGTGTTTTAGTGTCTTAGTGAGCCATATAAACACAACACATTTACAAGCTAACAAGTTAAGAGTCTAAAGGGTTATTTCTCTTTGTGTACATACTCATGACTAATGTGACATGGTCATTGTCTCTTGTAAAGTCCTAAAGCAGGTTACCAAGGACATGTTCTTTTCCAGAACCCTCTTCTGCCTCACCTACCTTGGTGAAAACATCTCTTCCCCACCCTTACTCTATCCCAATAATGCAATTCTCCCTCCTTTTCTTTCTTTTGATTTTAAAGTCTCCTATTTGTGGATCCCAGGGCTGCAAATTTTGCTTTTTAGTTGGAGTCTGAAAATCAACTCTCTAATGGTATTACATACTAATATGCCATTAAAACTCAGCTTGTTCTAGAATCATGTATTTTTTTTTTCAGTTGACGTTTTTGCCGGTCTGTGGCTTGCAAGCAGCCGCATCTGAATGCAGTGCCTGTAAAATGAGGACAGTTTCTGCTGTTTTCAACTGTTTTAAGTCAAAAGTTTGAAAACTGGGTGTTATTCTAATTGAAATCAAGAGGGGTTATAATTGTTGAGAACAGGGTTATAATTGTACATCCACGTTTAAAGGCAGGGTTGGGAAGTTGCTTGAGGAGTTGAGTTGGAGGGGTCAGTTGAAGAGAACACGGACTGGCTTTTGACAGTGTGAGGCCAAGGGGGGCTTCAGATGCTGCTATTAAGGTGATGTGCAAAGGACAATAATCAAACCAAAGAGTATTCAGTGGAATGTGTATCAAATGAAGATTCAATGGAGAATAGGTGTGACCACCTGGAGGCTCCTCCAAACACACAGTGCTACCACTTAAAAAAAAAAAAAAGACTTGAGTTATTTGAAAAGGGGTAGGTACAGGGACAAGAAAAGAGGGAGGGGGAATCTTTCAACTTATTTCTTAAAACGAAGAAAGCATCTAAAATTTCTGGTGCATAGGTTTGTTTGTTTTGTTTGTTTTTTTTTTCAAGAAACTTTTGCAGAAGCTACATTTTTTAAGGTGTACATTTTATAAAGTTTATCAGATATTTTCATATTTAAAGCCAAATGTAAATAGAAAAGTGTAAAAGAAAAAATACCATAGGAGGTATAATTACAGCAGTGATTCTGAGAGCTAGCACCTATTATGCTACCGGTTAGCATGGTTTTAGCAGATATTACCAGCCTTTGGAAGTTCGTTTTGGTATGTTCTTCTGTTATTTATTTCAGCATGGACTGTTTCTTTGACAGCTATTTGTAGTTATTAGCAGTTTAATAGTTACAAGCTTTAAATGGCTTTTTGTTTTGTTTTTGCCAAGAGCCAAGACATAGGTAATGCACGGCATTTCTCCTTGCATTTTTACCTTCAGAATATCTGTCTTTATTGACGGGGCCTCCGAAACTAGTGCACACACCTGCCACTAGTATGCAGATGGAGAGACTCACCTTGAACATCTGGGATCCATTCCCAGATACCCATTGCTTCTCTGCTGCGAGCGAATCCCTCTAGGATGTATTCCCTTTAAAAGAATGTTTGCCCGTATCTGGATGGGCATTATATATATTTTTTGGAGGGGGGAGGCATAGATTCCTGGTTATTCTATTTTTAAATAAAAGGTAGACAAAGTGAACTCTATTTTGATTATTGAGAAAGGAATAGTTTTCTATCCCTCTAAGAGTATACTTGAATTAGACATTTTTAGAATGTCATATAGCACTGTAGTAATTTCCAAATCCCTAGAGAAAAGTTTGTTTGATTCTGTTCTCATTCTGTTAATGCATTATTTGTTGTCTTTCACTTCCTTTCTCCCTATGTACTCCCTCCCTAAACCTTGCTGTGTGTCTTATGACTCTGGTTCCCCAAAGATGTTCCCCTTGCAGATAACAAGCATCAGCTTTTATCTTATAACCAGCCACCTCCCCAAAGCAAACAGCCCATCTTAAGAGGTGGCTTAAGCTCCCCATCACACCGTTTAATGATGTTAAGGTGGAAGCATAAAAGTGTTGCATTATTTCATCCCATCCCACAACCTCCAGTAAACTCCAGTTTCTTTCCTAGGAATGTTAGATTTCAGCTCCAGGCTCTGGCGAGTTGAACGATCCTAGCCTTTGACAATCATGATAGCTATTTTTTTCCCATTTGCCATCTTTTTTGTACCTAAAGTCTTCCTATTGTACTGCACAAACCATGGGTTGTACATATTTTTATATATTATGTCTTATTTTATTATTTCTAAATAAAAATTAAAAATCGAAAATGAAATTTGTGGAAGTTTCATTGAACTTCTTGTATGATTGCTGTAGTAACACTGGAATTCATATTCTCAGATAATGGGGCAAAAAACTCTGGTTACTGGAATGAATAGAGCCATAGAAATTGACTGAACCCACAGGTGCAGGGGATTGGCAGATTAGTTTAATCCAAGTTAGAGGAAATCAAGCTTACATTTTAGTCTGGGACAGAACAGCTTAGAGGATAGAAAAAAAAAAGAGGAGGAAACAAAACAAAACTAGAAATTGTTTTGAATTTTGATTACTAACTTACAGTAATTACATTTTGCTGACACTTGACTGTAGGTGGATTCTACCTTGTGTGTCATTTATCTTTTCTTTCTTCCCTTTTTAAAAATCTTAAGGCAGTAGTATCTCATGTAGCTCAGATTGGCCTCTGAATTAGAGATGTTGCCAAGATGACCTTGAACTTCTGATTTTCCTGCATCTACCCCCAGTCATGGTGAGATTCCAGCCATGAGTCACCATGCCCAGTTTCTTTGGTGCTTGGGATAGAAGCCTGGGTGTTTAACCTAGTGTTGCATGCTAGGCAAACACCCAGATAAACAGGCTTCATCACCGCTCTATTCCATCTCATTCCCACCCAAAACAAAGTCAAGGTGTTATTGTATGTTTAGTACAGGAGTAGGAAGACAGATGTAGTAACCACTGAAAGAAAATATTTTGACTTCCTGTCCCTGAGGCTTTTGTCTTAATTCAACAATACATCCTTATAGTCCAAAAACAGTGCAGTCACACAGACTACAGGAGCATGAATGAACTGGTGTGATTGAGCAAAAATGGGACCTGAGAGTAGAGGAAGCCTGAGCGAGGATGCCAGTTTGGAGGTCTGGGCAATCTAGTAGTGGTTAGGCCTCTGGTAGTGGATCAGTATTTATCCCTAGTATGTATGAATGGACCTTGGGAGCCCTCTCCACATAGAGGGGTACTCTCTCAGCCTAGACACACGGCGGGGGGAGCGGGGTGGGTCTAGGCCCTGTTCCAAATGATATGACAGACTTTGAAGATGCCCCATGAAAGGCTTCACCCTCCCTGGAGAGCAGAAAGGGGTTGGGATGAAGGTTGGGGGGCGGGGGAGCAGGGGAAGAGGGGAAGGAGAGGGAACTGGGATTGACATGTAAAGCTGGTTTTTAATTAAAAAAAGAAAGAGTAGAGGAAGTGGTCCATATTTGGCTGGTTGTCAATTCTTTGACAAACAAAGAAAATTAGGATGAGTTTTAATGCTAAGAAATCACTGAATAGGATTTGATTCAAGCTTGATCTGTTTCCC